TGGGGTAACCCTGTGTTGGTTACCTGTGGCCCCCAGACATCATGCAGTGGAAGACTGGGGAGAGGGGAGGGGGGGCGTTCACAAATATAGTCTCGATGCTTGTGTTCGAGTCCTCTTGTTAGGCTGATCTCCAGACTGGCACAATGCCCCCACTTGGAGCGTGTCTCTCCATAATATTTTAATGGCAGCTTTTGAGTTCTTCCGTCGATGCCCTTTGAACTCGAGATGTGCTTGGCAGGATGGCCAGCTCCTCACCCAGTGAGAGGGGTGTGCAGAGATCTGCATGTGCTGCAGCTGCTTTTCAGAGACTTTCAGAACCTCCTCTCACTAACTTCAGTGTCAGAACGTACCAGGCCGAACTGCTGGTACATCATGGTTTTTATTCTCTTGCTGGAGAATAGACAGTGACTGGAATCTGGGCTAACGCCAAAAAAAGCCCTTCAAGCTTGTGACATTTCAGAAGCGAATTCCCTTTGATCTGGCCCTGTGTGAATGGAAAGTTGGCAGAGGTCTGAAGCCATGGAAACTGGTACTTCACCTCTGGGGAGCAGTGGCCTTCCATGCTACAGTCTGTATAGGGGCCCTTTGGACCAAGGTGTATCCATGTTTTGCAGGGAAAGGTAGAATAAAGAAAAGCTGCTGTGAAGAGTTTGACCCAACAGCTTTCAGAGTCAGGCTGCAGAAGGGCAGAGTGAGAGAGACGAGTGGCACTTGGCAGGTGTAAGCTATACCCAAAAAAAAACAAAATCTGGTTCAGCGGTGCAGTCTCATTGGTGGAGTGGTAATTTTAAGCAGTGTCTTGCCAGTCATGGAGGGGTCTGGCCACAGTTAGTGCCTGCTCCCATGACAGCATGCACAAGTAATAGTGTCCGAGGTCTAGTCTGGCTGTACTAATTCATGCAGGCTGTGACATGCCCTGGAGGGCGAGATTATTTTATATCATGTGCCCTGCTAGTTTCCTGAGCCCTACTGGCAACGTAGCCAGTGACAAATCAAGATTTCCCCCCCCCACCCCTCCCCCGGAGAATGCCACTTACTGCAAAAGGGGCCCAGCAAGACCCTCCGCTTGTGTGAAAGCTGAGTGTGGGAAGCCACCACAGAACATGGCTGTTGCACCTGTCAGCCTGAGTTTCTCTAGTGAGAGCTTTATGCAGTGGGGTCCCCCCCCAACTTTCAGCGGAGGCAGATGACATCTGGGTTGGCAAAACTGACGTGTGACCGCTGGTGTAGTCACGGGTAAATGGACTTTACCCCCCTTCTCGTTTGGGGAATATGGAGTTTAGTTTAGGTTATTTACCCACTTTTTTTACCGTACGCCATTGTAATGATGCATCCAGCGCCAATATACAGCAGTTTGTAGTGCTGATGCATTTGAGGATAGACATCAATACAGAGCTACTGTAACACTCTTCAGAACGAGAACTGACCCCTTTTGTAATGTACACTTCCGGTCCGCCCGAAAATGAATGCCAATCATGAGGCCGGGGTGGCTGAGCGATGGAGGTGTTTGTATCACTGTGAAATCTTAAAGCTGCGGGTAGGGTTGATCTCTGACAACAGTTTTTTTACAACAATAGGAAAACAGCGTCACTCCTGGTGGGGGAAGCTTCTTGCTAGGGACCATCTCCCGAGGGTTACAGTGCCTGCATCATAGCAAAGTCAGCGGGACTGAAGTGGTGGCGCTTGGGTAGACCCATCACTTGCAGATGGAGTATGGTCTGTTGTGCCCTGAAAACTGGGGTGTGAAACCCCTGTTTAAAAGTATTTAAATGATGGCATAACCGCTCTGTACTGTAGATCAGCTTGAGAAACTTACTGGTCTCTCCACCTGAACTGATCACTTGGGGGGTGGGGAAATAGATAGTCTTACTCCAAGCTCTCCTCCTGTTCAGTAGACCCCTTGCTTTTAGTCCAGATCAAGGTGATATTTTACCCAGCATTAACAGGACTCTGCACCAGTCTAGTCCCTCCAAGCCAATGATCTCCAAGTATTTTACCAAAAGCTAAGGGCTGCTGTTGCATGGGGGACCGATCCAAAGCCCATTGGAGTTGATGGAAAGACCCCCATCGACTTCAGTGGGTTTTGGCGCATGCCCAGAATGCTTGCAGGATTGGGCCCTCTCTGAGTGGCTCCAAATGCCTCTGCCAACCCTCTGCTTCGCCCACGGGGAGCTTGTATAAAAGCCGGGTCGGCTGTTGTGGCTGGTAGCACAGGAGACCTTCTCAGGGGTGTCTGAATCTGCGGCGGGGGAAGTGAGCGTGTTCCGTGTTTGTACAGTGCCTAGCACGGTGGGGTCCTGCTCCGTGACTGGGGCTCCTAGATACTGTGATAATCTCAATAACCATCTGTGCTACAGAGGCATAGTGAAAGCTGGAGTGTGGAAGCGTGTGGTTGTGGGAAGGGGTTTTCTCTAATTAGCAATGATGTGTAGCAGAAGTCCATTTCAAGTGTGTGGAATCCTGTCTCTTGGCATCGGGAGGTTGATGGGCCCCTCTTGTGGGTTAGTTGAAGACTTGTCATTGGGGGTGGTGGTACCATGTTTCCAGGCTCTGTGTTCCTCTGGGGTGAAGGCGCTTGTTCTTCAGAGGAGCAGTTACTTACCAGGGAGAGGTCTGAGCTGGCCCAAGATGAGCCTTTTGGTGGAGGCGCGATAGAGTTCCCACCTCTTTGGGGGCATTTCCGTTTCCCAGTGTTCGTGCACTGTCCTGCGAGTGGTGCTTGCATGGAAACGCCTGTTAGAGGAGGCTGAGCCCTGGTCTACACTGGGGGGGGGGAATCGATCTAAGTTACGCAGCTTCAGCTACAGGAGTACAGGAGTCGACGGGAGAGCACTCGGGGGTCGATTTATCGTGTCTACGCATCTAGACTAGACGCGATAAATCGACCCCCGCTGGATCGATTGCTGGCCACCAATCCAGCAGGTAGTGTAGACATACCCTGAGATGGAGACTTAAGGCACCCTATGTCTTCTCTGTAACAATGGATAGCCTTGGGGAAAGTGCCCTATACGCGGACAGGAAATAGACTCCGGCTGGTTGGTCTAGGAATGCTCTGCTGGCAATAGCGCCGAGGAATACGTAAACCAAACCCCTGCAATCTGCACTGCAACCTAACCTAGCAGCTGTCAGACAGACCGTGGCACAGCATCCTCTAACAGGTGTTTCCATACAAGCACACTCAGGACAGTGGGTGAACATTAGGGAACAGAGATGCCCATGAAGCAACTGGAAACTCTGTCACATCCTTGGAGACTTTCCTGAATGTGGGTTTATTTCTAGCTCAATGTCACATCCAGTAAACTTCACAGAGCCTGTAACAACCAGTAGGATGTTCATGTGTTGGGCTGGATTTTTTTGTTTAGCTGTAAACTGCTGTGACCTGACAGCACTCTCCACTGGTACAGAAGGTTTTTGGCAGTCCAGATAGACCTGAAAAGTTCTGTTTACTTAGGGAGAATGCAAAGGTGTAGCTTTGGGTATCCACTTTCCCCTGCGGTTGCTGTATGTTTCTAACAGTGTGGCTGCAGCAATTCTGGCACGAGGTATTAAGGGAAGGGATGCAGCTCATTAAGAAACGATAATGGGGAAAGAAGGTAACTTTATAGAAGACTTGCTGTGGAGAAGCAAACAGCTGGAGAAAAATGAAACCGGCTCAATGTTTACTTTTACCGGATGACTCTCTTAATTTAAGTAGCTTTTTTTTTATTTAAAACTAATCACTGAGCATAATGCAAGTGCTGGGTTCACGTGTTGAAACGGGGCCGTTTGATCTCAGATTGCTAGCTTAGAAGATAATATATAATTTTGTGTGTATCGACGGCTACTCACATGGCCAAACTTCTTTCGTTGTGTCCAGCTGCCACAGGATTGCATGTTGGTCTTTGTGGTTCAGGGCAGAC